AGCTCTGCAAAGCAAAAGCATTGTATGAGTTGGTCTTGGAAGTTGGCATATGCTCCTTCCTATTCCAAATATAAATTATGTTTAACTAACTTCATTTATAGTTAATAAGGAAAGTAGTTAAAAATGGATATTCATTAAATGTCAAATATATAATTTCAATAATTTTGAATTAATGCATCTATTGATTCAATATAATTGAAATGATTGATATAACTTTAAAAATTGATTACAATATTTTGTGATAATCTTGTTTGATATCAATTTTTTTACATCATGAATAATACATGTCCTGTTTTTGATGTTGTTACCTACAACGTGTGGAATGGGTGTCCGGTGAAGTCTTTAAAGTCATTTAAGAGTAATAAGACTGAAATATATATTTGATATATATAGAAGATCAAATATATCAAGCTGGAAATGATATAAATGGCCATTTAATTTTATTGGATAAAGTTGAATTAGCACTGAGAGGACTTTCGTTAATCCTATTCATGATAATGACAGATATAACGTGTGGAATGGATGAAGTCTTTGAAGTTATGTGATATTCCAAAAGACTTAGATATATTGGAGCAAAGACTACGTCTCTCATGAATAATACACATGTCTTGTCTTTTATGGTACCTTCAACGTGTAGAATGGGTGAATTTTTTTTTTTTTTGGTTTAATGATTTACAACCTAAAAGAAAAAGTTAAATTCTTGTTGCGTATTATATGTGTGTAGGTCCAATTTCATCAACACTTCTTATGTATGTCCTGTTCGTCTTGATAATGTTACACATATAACGTGTTAACAGATATTTATAGTGTTACTTTCTGTTTAAACAATAAGAATCAAATCAACAACGAATGCAAACTTTAGAAACCAACTCAATAATTTAGACAAATTTAAGGGACTAAAAATCTTATAGATGTCCTTTTCATCTTGATAATGTTACACATATAACGTGCGGAATGGGTGAAGTACGTCTTTGAAGTTACGTGATATATGCCGAAGAGCAAAGACTATGTCTCTCATGAAAGTTTGTTTGAAAGTGTTGAATACAAACAACATTGAAGATGAATGGTGATGATAAAAACTGTGTGATCCATGAGGCTTACTTTTCTCTACCACTATTGAATTAGCATATAATGTTAGTAACTAATATGATCAATATTATATTATTGATAGCAAAGTTATCACCCCACATTTACTCGGAGATTCTTTGATTTTTTTATTATATTTACATAATTTTATCCAGTAATTTTTATATTTTAATATTATGGATTTACTTTAATTGTATTTATCAATACATATTTTGCATAACCCAGTTCACTAAGAAATTCTAAGTCAGAAATGACATTACCCTTCAAAAAATCTGATTCTCACTGCAAAATGATCTGAACCTGTCAACATAGAATTAACATCCCAAAATTCATTATCCTTTTTCCAGACATTAATAGAAAGATCATATACTCCAAACTTCCTGCAGAGATGCTTTTCTAATTACACAGGTTATGCAATGAAAATCCATATTTAAATATTAAATAATTTATGTATCTGTCCAGTTTTATTATATGTATTCCCAAAAAGACATTTATGTTGTGCTTAGATGCATGAAAATTTAAATTTGAATTTAAATCAAGTCAAAATTCATGTTTTATTATAACTTTTTTTTATAATTTCAAATTATTTTATTTAAATATTAGTTATTTCAAATTTCATCTTACACGAAGCTTCTCATTTTTTCCCTATATTTTTATTATTAGTGTCTCTATTATTTTAGCCCATTAGGCTGATTTTGAAAACCAATCCTGCCATGTGGAAACAAGCAATGCAGATGGCCAAAATAATGCATCACCAATGGGCCCAATTAAATCTAAACCAAGAAACCATGTTGTGATGTTGGGTAACCCAAGCCAAATGGGCCACATCACTACAAGCCCAGTCCCTTGTGGGAAAAAGAAAATAAAATAAGGGAGGATCATCATCAACTTTTCCTAAATTTATTTTTTTGTTTATTGAGATATTCATACAACCAACAGCCCTGAATCTAATCCTTTTGGATGTGAAACTATTGGTTTTGCAGGGGTCCTTTGGGTTCTTTGGAACGAGGCTGGGATCAGATTTGAGTATATTTGTTCAAATGCTCAATTACAACACTGTAAGATTCTTAATTTAAAATGCCTTGTGTCTCCTTTTTAATTTGCCACTTTTGTTCATGGTAGGAATCTAGAAAATTTTGATGATGCTTGAGTTATGACGGGTGATTTTAATTCTGTTCTCAGTCCTGATTTCAATAAGTGCATTCATATGTGTTGGCTCAACTCAATAGAGAATATATAAAAAGGATAAGGAACGGATTGATTGGTCTTTTTTTAATGCAACATGGAATGTGTCTCACGTGCTCTCATACAACTGTCTTCCACTATTTGCCTTGTAGTGTGTGTTTAGATTAAAAAATTTACAATTAAGGTTAAAATTTAACTAAGGTTAGAGGAAAAATCAATGAATGTAACATGATTTATATTTGAATACTTTTTTTATTCAGAAGTTAGTTAAATAAACTAAAATTTATTTGGATAATTTAATTCAAAAGCCAGTTAAGATGTTTAATGATAAAAATAAGTATGAATTTTTTTTGTATATATTTTTGACTAATTAATAACTACAAAATATTAAACTTTAAATTACAACTAATAAGTGAAAAATTAAATATCATTTTATTTATATAATTTTAAGTTGTACTATATATCAATTAAATAATTTATTTTCTTATATACTTCAGAACATATTCTTCTTTTCTTCTTCCTATGCTGAAAATGAACATTATTCACACACACACACAATTAGCATAAAAATGATATTCTGCATTAAAATAATTAATTATAGTTGTATACATATTATTTATAGTCATTTCAAATGTATTTTTATTAATTCTTCTTAATATTCAATTTCATAGATGTTTTGAAGTTTTTATTTTTTTCTTATTTTAATGTGTTGTTATAAAATATTGTTAGTGACTTCATTCAAAACAATTTTTTATTTAGTAAAAATTTATCAAAATTAAAAACGTACTAAAGGAAAATGTGAATAACACAAAAGAGATAAAACATTCAATCAATTATGGTTATAAAATAAATTGATGAATACTAAATAGAAATTTAAAAAATAAGAATGGTTAAATTAGAGAAAGAGGAATGAAGAAGAGAAAGATTTAAATGACGTGTAAAATATTTTTAAACACTCTATAAATTTTGAAGATAAATGTTTTTGAACACAAACATCGAATTTTTATTGTTTGTATTGAATGGGAAGCTCATTAAATAATGATGAAATTTTTTCTACATTTAAAAATTAATTTATATTTTAATATATTTAAAATATGTATTAAATTAATTGATAATCTAAAAATTTAAAAAAATTAAAATATGACTTTGTCTCTAAATCTATCTCTACTTTGAATTAGAGACACATTAAGAAACAAAAATAATTGAATCTATAATATATTTACTTCAGTCGTCTCTAATTCAGTCTCTAAATTAATAAAAATAAAATTACAAAATTTTAAAGAAATATAGAGAGGAAATTAGAGATGGTTAAATTTTTGCCTCTAAATTCATAAAAAAAATGTCTCAAATTAAGTCTCTAAATTTAGAAAAAATGTAACCTTAATATTAGAGATGGATTTGGAGATGGCTAGTTTAGAGATGAAATTTATTCATCTCTAAACTTGTTTCTAACATTTTAATTTTTTTAATTTAGAATTTTTAATGAATAATAATAGAAGTTGAGATAGATTTTGCAATGCTTTTTTTAGAGACGTATATAAGTAATCTCTACTCTCTAAATATGTCTCTATATTTTAAAATATTTTTTAAATTAAATTTATTTTTAAAAATATAATTAGTCTCTATTTTTGTCTCTATTAGACATGATAATTAGGCTGTCTCTAATTTTATCTCTATTTTAATATATTTTTTTTGTAGTGAATGCTTCTTGGATGTACAAGGCAACAAAGACTTTGAGGAATATTACCGCAAAAAGAATTATATGAAATATCAAGTGTTGTTAGATTTACAAGTTGACTGAAACATTGAGAAACACTTCTACTAAAAGAATTATTTGAAAGGTCAAGGATTTTAAGATTTATAAGTTGACCAAAGCTATGAGGAATATTGCCATTTAAATAATTGCTTGAAAGATCAAGGCCTTCAAGATTTACAAGTTGGCTGAGACTTTGAGGAATACTGCCACTTAAAAAATTACTTGAAAGATCAAGGCTTTTAAGATTTATAAATTGACCGAGACTATAAGGAATATTGCCACTCAAAGAATTACTTGAAAGATAAAGACTTTCAAGATTTACAAGCTGATCAAGACTTTGAGGAATATTGTTGCTAAAAGAATTCCTTGAAAGATAAAATTCATTAAGATTTACAAGTTGAATGAAACTTTGAGAAATATTGCCACTAAAAGAGTTACTTGAAAGATCAAGGTAATTTAATTTTTTAAAATACCCTATCCATATTGGCAAATGGCCATTTAGTTTGTTATCATTCAAGTACAATACCTCTAAATCATATCTAAGGCATCCAAAAAAAAAATCAAAGTCACTAATTGCTTCTCCTTGAAGATAGCTTTCTCTTAAGTATAATTCTTTAAAACGACATATGCTTTTTAAATTTGGGAAATAGAAGTTTCCATTGTAGCTATGATTTTTGTAATACCCAGGATTTTTAAGAAAAATTTAAAATATATAATAATGTATTTAATTCTATTTATATTAATTCAGGAAATATTTAGACAAGAAGGATTGTTGGTTTAGTGGTAGTCGTGCTGTCAATTAATTCTTCAGCTCCTCGGTTCGAATCTACCTCGTGCAAGAGAGAGGTTTTATTTAATTTTGCTCCAATGTTTGGGTGAAATTACAATTTCACCCCTTGGTAAAAAAAAAGGAAAATAAACCAGATTAAAAAGAGATCAGATTGTCTCTTCCCTACTTCATTTTCTCAAAAGATCGCTGGTTGTCGGTGGAGAGGAGGAGGGGGAGAGAGGCTCACTCCATTTTTCCTCTTCCTCCGTCCTTCCAGTTGCCGGCGAAGGTTATGTGAGAGTCGCCGTTTCATCTGCAACTACAGTAGATCCGTGAGCTTGCAACCTTCATCTCTGTGCCGTTGATTTCTTCCTCTTTCGTCCGTATTGTGCTATGGTGCTTTGAATCCTTTCTCTATTCCTTCTGCACGTTGCCAGTGTGTACAAGGGAGTTGTTTCTGTTGCTGCTGGAGGTTTGATTCGCTGGTCATTCTCCTCCTCTGTTTCGGCTCACAGCTGCTCTTCTTGATCTTCATGTTCTGTCACTGCAATTCTAGTTCCCCTTCCTTCGGTACTCTTTGCTTTATTGGTGAGCCAAGTTTCACTCTCTCCCTTGTCAGATTTGAGTATGTATTGTGATTGAGAATTGCTAAGATTTTGGATTAGGAATTGATCGCTAAAATTTTGCTTTACTATTGAATGTTCTAACAAGCTTAAGTTGAAGATTAAGGATTTCACTTTTGACAAGTAGCTATATTATATTTTTGCTGGCTGCATGATAAATATTTGTTTAGATTTGGCATTTCTTAGAGTTTAAATTGATTTTGGTTGAGGGAATGAAATTTGAAAAGTTTGGTAAATTTATATATATATATATATATATATATGTTCATGAAATTTTGAGGAAGATATTTAAAGAATAACCGTGTGGTTTAAGTTTGAATGCACATAATATTTGATGAATTGTTTGATAGGGGAATGTTAGTTTTTAGTAGCAAATGAATGTAGTTTTGGAATTTTGACAAAAAGTTTATTAGGAGATTGTATTTTAGTGGAATGCTAAGTTGTGATCGGATATGATTTTTTTGAAATTTCATTAACTCTTATGGGTACATACTTAGTTTGGGTATTAATTGTTCATGAATTTAACTTGAATGGTATGAAGAATTTTGAGTATGAAACTGTGCTGAGACAAGTTGCATTCTATGAAATTGTATGGATGATATTATAAATGATAATGTGTAAAAATTTGATTTCGGAATGCCTTTGAGTTGCTTGATAGAAAGGGTGACAGGAGAACTTGAAATTTAAAGTGATTAATTATGCTATGTGTATATATAATATTAATTAAGTTTTGTTGCTTGCACTTGACAAGAGTTGGAAAGAGTTTATCAAACTTGATTATGCCATTGAAGTTTCTTTTTATATTAGATAGGGCATTTAGTGGAACGAAGGTTTGATTGGGTTCTAAGAAGTTAACTTTAGTACTCGGGCACACTTCAGGTAAGTGGATAGCGTCCTAACTGATTTTTTTCAATCAAAATTTCCTTTACTAAAATACTACTTTTTTCTGGAAATCATTTTAATAGCATTAATGCGATTATTGGATATTTGTTGATTAACATTTCTTTATTTTGAGAAATTAACTTTACCAATTTAAAATGTTATTTGATCAATGAAGTCAAGTTTGAACTTTAATTATGAGATTTTTATTCTATCAAATATTGGATAGATACAGAGAATGATTCATGCGAGTTCGAAGTTAAATTTTTTTTATTCAATAAATGCAAGCATGAGCATTGGATATGAAATTTGATTCTGGCAAGTTTTAAAGCTTAAAAGTATTCATGCGAGTTTGATTTTGAGAATGAGAATTGTATCTTGAAAGTGATGATTTTCTCACATGTTTGAAAATAGTTTTAAAAAGGAGTTTTATATAGAACACTGGTTGCTAACGGCAGTTCCGTTAGCCCTTGGCGCGCCATGGTACACCTAGCTAGCAGGGTGTTTATAGGAGGTGCTAGCCCTGTGCGATGGCCAACGCACATAGAACGGAGGGATGGTTATTCGTGGGCTTTGTACTCGCGTTTGATTTCGTGGCTTCAAGCCGTGTTTGGTTAGCATTACCTTCGTGGACTGTGTGTCCACATTTGTTTCGTGGCTTCGGCTGCGTTTGGTTACATATTCTCGTGGACTGTGTGTCCACGTTTGTTTTCGTGGCATAAGCTGCGTTTGGTTAGTTACCCTCCTGGACTGTGTGTCCATGTTTGTAAATTGTTTTGATAAGTCCTATAATTATGAATCCAATCATTTAATGATTTCATATTCTATTAGTTTTTATTTAGCAATTTGTTTATAAATATTTATTTCATTTATGTGCTTTATTGAAATCAAGTGAAATTATCATTTGCTATGATAGTTCAATGATTTGAGATTTTATTTGAAATTTTATAAAGCCATTTTATTATGAAGTTTATTAAATTTTTACGGAAATTATTGTCTCTTTAACTTACATAACTATTTCAAACTTTTCATTTTATTTATTGTTGGGATGTTATTCACTGAAAAATTATTTTGGTCTCAGATAGCATAATTGATGCTGTATGTCTTGCTTGCCAAGGATGGGTGTTTGCGGAACAGAATGGAGGCTTGTTCTGTAAATATGTCTTATGGATGTAAAGGTGAAATTTATGTATTATGTCATGAGATATATAATTAGGTGCTCCACATAACTTATAATTAGAGTCCTTAGTTTATTATACATTTTGCCTATTGGCTGGAAGGAGCTGAGCTCTTGATTGATAAAATGTTTAAGGAAAACTTTTGTGATACAGAATTTTAGAGAGATCTTATTCACAAAAGAGGTTCTATCAAAATTTTTACAAAATGTTGAAATAATTATTATAATGATTAATATCAATAGTATTAAAATGTCAGTGTAAAAATTGAGTACATTTTAATTAAATGAAATAAACCTTGAATTTGTGGTTTACGAGATGTATGATGTGGTTTACATCTTGTGCTGGTCACCCTTATTTTTGGGGCGTGGCAATTTTATTCCCAAATATATCTAGAAATTGAAGGCTCCTTAACTCTCCCAACCAAGATGTATGGAATTGAACTAAAATTGTTTGCTATAAAGGAAAGGACTTCAAGGGAAGTCAAGTTTCGAAAAACAATAGGAATGGGTCCAGTAAGTGCATTATGTGAAAGATCAAAAGAAACCAAATTTTTAAATTGGCCAAACCTTGATGAAACTGAACTAAAATTATTTCTAGAAAGATCAACTTCTTTAATGGAAGTTGAGTTTTGAATAGTACTGACGCTGAAACCACAATGTTCATTATCTGAAAGACCCAAACACACTAGATTTTGAAGCTCACCAATCCATGATGGAAATAAACTCAAATGATTTCCAAAAAGCATGAGGACCTTAATGGATGTTAAGTTTTGGAGGGCAAAGGGAAGCATACCATGAAATAAATTGTGATTGATGTCAAGTTCCAAAAGGCTATCAAATTTACCCAATCATAATGGCATTGAACTAATATTGTTGAAACTGAGGTCAGGGGATTCAATAGAAGTCCAATTTTAAAAAACCATCAAGGATTCAACCATCAATTTCATTACCCAAAAAATTGAGGACTTGAAGTTTGGCATTGAATGTATGATTCTTGGGGCGAAGGGAAGTTGGCAAGTTGTGAAGTCCACAAGTCCTTAATTAGAGTTGTAACAAAGAAGGAAGCATGCGAAGTACCTGGAACAAGTTGTGAGCTTCACCAAGGTAGACACCACTCAAGTTGAGATGTTGCAAAGACTAAAGTTTAGAGACCGAATTCATGTCCTTGATTTGCAAATCATAATTGTAATTGAGATCAAGATACTGCAAGAGTGTTAGATTTTCCAAACTTGGGGGAATCTTCCTTGTGAAATTAGCATAGTAGATAGAAAGATATCTCAACTGCTATATAGAACCAAAAAAGACAAGAATTAGGACACCATTGAAGTTGTTCCAAGAAAAGTCCAAATAAATCAAACATGAGAAGCTTTTAGGAAATGGAAACTGACATTAAGTTTGAAGCTATGACTAGTAACATCATGACAAGCTATGCCATCCCACAGGAAATAGTTGGTTTTGACATTCTAAGAGGAAAGGCTCTTATATGGATCATGAAGAAAGGATTCTTTGAATTTGAGAAGAGCTTGCTTCTCTGGTTCAATGCATCCTTCACATGTACCTAATGGGGCAATTTTGGATAGGAAGAAAAGCAAGGCAAATCTTGCTATGATGTGTCTTCCCATGTTTAGAGAATGAAGCGTAAACAAGTGAACTTTCTATACAAAGTATCTCTTGTGATGAGTGGAGTGTGGCTTTTGTTGAATATATGAGCAACTATTTATTATATTTTGTGGCTTTGTGGTCTATGATTTTTTTTAAAAAAATTATAAGGTAAAAGATAATAAAGAGTTATATTTGTATACTTAAAGACCATTTTTTCCCTAAACATTTTTTTGGAAGTGACGGGCAACTTGTACTAAATGATGAGGCAATATTCCTCCTAGATAATTTTTTCAAGAGCAAAACGGGCCTTCCAACAAAGACTCGTTATCTTCTTTGTTATCTGCTACTATACAATAGTCATGGGGCCCACGTATTTTGACATATTTTTCCACCTTTTTGTTGCTAATTTGGCTTTGTTCTTGCCACTCCGCTATTACTTCCAACCCATTTGGGCCATGTCAGATGGTCAAAATAGGTTAGAATGCCTTGTTCTCATTGTATGTGAACCCAACAACTATTCCACGCCAGCAAATAATGTTGAAGATAATGGGTCTCTGATGGAAGAGCAATTTTCCTCTTAAAAAAATGGTTTAGAGAGGATATTGGCACACCCTTCAATACAATGTACTCAATACTCAAACAAAAATTTAGAAGGAAAATGGTTTTAAACCCTAACTAGTTTTAGACACAACTATTTACTCGTAGTGTTCTACAAGCTTTATGTTGAAGTCATAGCAATTATCCGTCTTATCAATTTTATCCTTGAACATGGATAATATCTAATTATAACAAAACAAAAACAAAAACAAAAATCCTTAAATCTCATTCGAATTTGAAGCTAAATAGCCAGACCTGGATGGTCATTATGCAAAAACCTGAAAATAATATGCGAAAAATGTTATAAAATATTTTATTTCGACATTAATTATTCATGTACAGTATTACAAACATTATAAACTTAGGACACTTTCTATAAAAAAAAAAACATAAACTTATGAATCTTTTTTTGGGCGACCGTTTGAACTAGATTTATTGTTAAGGAATGTGGATTGTTGAAAAATATTTTGAAGATAGAAATTATATTGTTCAAAAGCCAATTCTTACATGCTTGATTGCTTATCATGAGATCGTTCATTACTTATATTTATTTAAAAAAAATGATCACGATATCCGTTTAATCATAACAGTGCAAAATACTAATTTTAATTGCCCAGAAAAAAAGTTATGGAATTTTAACCGCGGTTAGCTAATTATTTTCGAAGTAATGCTTGGCAAGAATTTTATTTACTATGTTCTCTCTGATATTACAGTTACAAAATTTCACATTATTAAGCCAATCGGATTTAAATAACGTTTTTAAATCATCTAAGAGAATAAAAAATAAATTTTTGTACTCAACAAAATTATTGTCTAATGAAGTTTTTATTTTTAGTTCTTAAATTTTAATTTGATTCAACTCATTCCCTCTAATTTTGACTTAATTAAAATCTAATACCTAAATTTTGACTTACTATAATAATTTTATAGTTTAAACCATTTAAAATATTGCTCCCTAAGGTTTAAAAAAAAAACGGGGGGAAATAATTCCAAAATTCCTCAGGCATTCTAAATACTCTAATGTCATCAGAAATGAACAAACTACCCTTACTTTAAAAAGGAAAATTGCTAAAATACCCTTACTTTTTAAGAAGAAAAATCCACCACCAGTCATTGGAAGTACTCTGGCTGTCTAGCAATGACCAGAATCCATTTTGGAGCCACCATCACTAATGAGGAAATCATTGGTCATGGATTGGTCAAGAGAGAATTTGAGGACAAAAACTTTTGGATCCCAATATGAACCCCTAGACCAATGAAACTATTAAATAGTTGCAAAATACTTTATATATATTGAACTTTTGGAGATAGAGTTGGTGAAATGGAATTTAACAGTCTGTTATTTATGCTAGTATGAGGAATATGCTCGTTAAATAATTAATATTGTATGAGATACTTGTTATTGGTGACTTATTAATGAAAAATATGCTCATTAATAATCACTGTTTACAAGTATCACACCACTTATTACAAGTATCTTATAAAATAATGATATTATTGGCAATATGTAGCAATAAATAGTTGCTACTGTTGAAAGAAATATTTTTAAAATTAAAATTTTTAAATATTATTTAAGATCAACCATGATATAATCATAAGTCCTTAATAGTTGCCACTGTTAAGTTCTTATTTCAGTTTTATTATATGTCATCTAAAAGGATATTTAAGTTATCCAAGCGCTTAGTCATTTTGTCAATCTGGAAGGTCGTTTTTTTTTTTTCAAGGAAAAATCACTATCAAGTCCCACCCAATAAATTCAATTACACCAAAATCTCATGAAAAGCCCAAATAACTACTAGGTCCCAAATGCTTGTGCAAATACAAAAAATATCCTTATATTAATTATTTTCAAAAAATATTTAATTCATCTACCATAGCCACCGGAGCTCTGGCCGCCTGCCAGCCTCTGCTAGTCGCTTGAGCATTAGCATATGGTTGGATTTTTTTTGGGGAAGAGATGGTTTTGGAAAGATTAGAATTCAACACCACATGAATCCCAAAAAAGTATGCAAACCACTGGGCTATTCAAGCCTTGTAATATGCATGCAAAAAATTTTATATATATATATATATATAAATAATTTGGAGAGACAAATTGATGAAATAGAATTTAATAGTCAATAATATATAAGGTAATTATAAATAACCATAATTTTTATTAACAAGTTAATACTTCTTATGTCATAATAATAAATTTCAACGCAAATCTTTTAGTGTTCAGATGATAAAATACTTATCTATAAATAAATTTTTTTTAAAAATAGAGAAACTATTTTCAGTTATACTTCATCCTGTCTGTGGGAAGACAGATATTATTTCTCATCCCATCGACCTATTTCTTAATTAAATTTGATTTGTTTTACTTTTTCTAAAATAATTCGAAACTCTGAGGGCACTATGACATACTTATCTGTTTTTTTTTTTTTACCAGAAAATCAAACAAGGCAAATGCGTAACAGCGTAATGATCACAGTCACAGTCACAGACAAAGACAAAATTTCCAAGCTTTTAAATTATTGAATAATTTAAAGAAAGAATATGATATGAGTGAAGAATACTTCAGTAACTTGTTTAATTTATATATACAATCTAAGTTCCGTCCAATATATAAAAATATAAAACACACACACATATTTCATGTTCGTTGAATTTTTTAGCGGAGGCTAATTGGTATAAAAAATCACTTTTAGATATGGAAATTTAAAAGTTGTTAATACAATTTCAATTTAAAAAATATTCAAACCAGTATACATACATACATACATACATACATACATACATGTATGCATGTATGTATGTAAAACTAGCGCACACATATATAATTCTTTATAGTAACAGTGTAATGCCAAGCGAAACATAATATTAATTATACTTTTATTTTATCTATATCTAACTGCCTATTATCTAATCCTACTAATAGGTATAATATCAATATCTTCTCCTCCTTGATTATTATC